CTTTCCCTTTGGTAACTTTTCATTTCTAAAGAGAAAAACAACTAAGCCTCAGAGGGGTGAAACACTTCATCTAAGACTCCAAGGCCAGTGAGTCACACTCTATCTTTTAACTCTAAAGGGTTTCATTATTGCAAATAATGGAACATTATTTCTTTTTACTTTGTATTTGGATTAATTTTTATCACTTACTATGAATTTGTTTCACAAATATAAAATAATATTCATGTATAGAACAAATTCCTTATTACTCCCAACCATCTGCTGTGTTAGGATTATCTGGCTTTTAGAATTATAATGAAAGTTTGTTGTATTAAGAAGCTACATCTTTGAAGTGAAAGATATTAGTAGCTGATGCATTGTCTAGATGAGAATGGATTCGAAATGAGCATACAAAGGTCTCTTGTGTGTACTTTAATGTGTAAATGGGGGAGTTTGTGTACATAAATGAGTTAACGGGTATGAAATGGTTGTGATATTTATTTATACATAAGCACAAACAGTCCATGAACCCGAAACTGGGGGCTGATGGGCACTTTAAGCCCTACTCCTTTCTTTCCCAGAGATGCTTTCAAATTGTCTGCCAGTACTCCCATGCCACAGGTTATTTCTATTTTTAAATCATAGTTTTCATTTTGATTTTGGCTTTTTGCCTGTCCAGATACATTCATCAAGATACACATAAAAAGAAAAGTATTCAGGGATATATACAAATTCAAGAGTCTATGGAAAGGTAAGTGAAGGGTAGGTAGAGAAGTGTACTGAAGGACAAATGGACAAAGAGGGAGAGACAGAGGCTAAGGAAGAAAGGACTTATCAGTGGAAGGAGAGAGAGGTCTGAAAAACAGTCACGGATCTTTGAATCCCACAGGTAAAGAATCTGTAGGAAACATTATCTTCTTCTATAGTCATTTTACAACAACACCAATTTCACAGCCATATTAAGACAAATCACTTCAGGTATCTAATCTTAGCCTTTCCTTCCCTAGTTATAAAATAGGAGCCATATTCTGTCTATGCCTCCAGCATGCTGCGTTCTCTAATGTAAAAGGACACCACTCGACAATCTCAGCAGCTCCCTCCTGCAATCTTCATTACCACCTGGATGAGTCACGCACGGCCACACGGGATAGGGAATTACAGGCTTCCCTTTCACTGACAGTGACGTAAGGTGCTATTTCCCTTAATCCTTCTGTTTTCGAAGACAGAATGAAGGGGATCACATTGTATTCACATTCTTGACGTTCCTAATCAAAACTACCTCTTGAAGTATTATTCCAAGAAAGTCTTCATACTCCCTCCCTTGATATAAATGATCTCTCACCTGAACTGGATTTCTTAGCAGATTGAGAACTCGAAGGAGAGGTAGACTTGCAAGGTTTTCTATCTCACCCAGCTCTGCAATCTGTTCAAGAAAGAAAAAAAACTTATCATAGACTACAGGCATAAAGATAATAGGAAACAACATAAGAGGAGCTACTTTGGATCCTTTAAATTCAACTCATTACAAAAATTACCCTGTGATTCATAGACTCTGAGACGTGACTGGTGGTTACTATGGGCGTGGGGCTGGTGTGGGTGGGTGAGGTAGGTGATGGGGATAAAGAGGCACAAAGATCTCGATCATAATATAAGCTGTTCCTGGGGATGGAAGGGCAGCATGGAAAATATAGTCAATGGTTCTGTAACATCTTTCTATGTTGACAGAACAGCAACTGCACTAGTTGGGGCGAAGATTTAATAACATGGGTAACAGTTGAACCACTGTGTTGTATACTTGAAACCAATGGAATTTTTGCATATGCCCCTCGATAAATGTGAGCACACCCCCTACATGTGCTTTCGTCCTCTCTGACTGGAGAACAGTGAGGTGGTCCTCATCTCAGCCATGTTTGTTCTCAGGTAGCAATCAAATAGTATATAGAATCAGAGAAACAGTACAAAAAGTGTATGCAAGGGTGACCTGGTTCTCCAGCCACCTCACCTCTAACCCTTCCTAGACTTCCCTCCCGACACTGCTTCTGCTAGTCTGGTTCTCTGTGGCTGCTGAAGCCTTCTTACTGCATGCACATGTGTAGTCTATCATCTTTTCATTAAGAGATAATTATTTTAAGGAAAGCTTAAAAATTAAAAATAGAAAACTGACATACTTCTTGACATGGGTGCTACTTGGGTGTTCACTGGAAAACTGTTTTTTAAAACTGTACATTTATGTTCTATGCTTTGTGTGTAGGTTGGATCACAACTCTAAAAAGTAAGGAAAAACTTGAGAGTTCCTTAATCTGACCAAGGATAGAGCTTGGGTTGCAGCACGTCTGAATTTTCCACTAAAGATAAACAATTTTACTTAGATTTCCTGTCATTAGCATAACTGTCATTTTATTTCAAAGGCAGAGACTGAACTTTTACAAAAAATTAATAATCACTTCTTTGTTTATATTGCTCCCTAAGTCATTTGCATGCATTGTAAAAGCGCTTCAACAGCAGAGTCACTGGTAATTCCTGAGTTAACCCAACCACAAAATGCAGCTTAAATGGAAACTATTCCCAACAGTAAGTCAGGGGTATATGTGCCATGTTCAAAGGATGCCATTTTCAAAGATACATAATGAAAGGCAAATTCAGATTTATAAAACACAATTTGCACACATCAGTCTAGTCACAGCAACATTATGTTATTATACGCAGCTCTTTCCGCAAGACGACTAGACTGGCCATTAGACTGTCATTTCCATTGTCTACAAAATGAAAGGATTTCTGTTTTTATTGTGTTATTCAGGAAGGTGGAAGTCAGCTTGGTTCACACTGCCCTGTCAGAACTTTTGAACGATGGTTTGACTTCCCTCTAGCGCACAGCCTTTATGCTTGGGCCTGACAGAAACGTTAGGAGGAGATATTTTCCTGTAGTCACCATGTCTCAGCAACAAATCCTGGCCACGTGCAGTTGCAGACCTTGGCGGCGAACGGAGAGTGGCATGTTCTTTCCAAAGGGCAAATTGATGTGTTACACATGCATAAGCTATGAACCAGCTGTCTCCCCTCAAGAAGTTTACACTGAAGAGATCATGAGGTACGAATTAGATACGAGAACATTCAGCCTAACATTTTTAGGAAAATCGAAAACATTTTCAAAGTCCTAAAAACTCCACCATTATGTGATTAAATGAGTCATGGTACGGTCCCATAACAGGAACACATTTTACAAGATGGCAACATCTATGGTGATTAACATGGAAAGATCTTGAAATGCTGCGAACACCATGAACAGAATCGTGGACTACAAACAATTCTTTTGTCATTAAGATGTCAGCTGGGATCAGCCAGTCTTTTAGGAGTCAAATGAGAGAGATCTGGTTTTGCTCCCAGTCCTTCCAAGGGTAGGATGAGGTTGGTAAGGCAGAGGGCGAGCAAACGTGGAGTAGCCTGGCCTCTAGTTCCCCAGCTGCTGCATGAGGAATCTGCAGCAGACACTGCCTGCTCTGGAGCCCTCGCCCTGCAGCAGACTCACCCTCACATCTGCTCTCCTCAAATGCCAAGACCCACAGCTGTGTGTGTCACAGATGCTCACAGAAGGTGTAGGAGTACAGCACCCCAAGTGACTTAAAGACAAATACTGCCAGAATGGTTATATACTGAGAGAGCTTCCGTCATCTGCTGCTAAGAATGTCATACCAGCACAGCTGATCCCCGGATTCCAGACTCTCTTCCCAAACCTCCTCTGTTCCTACTGGCTGCTCCCCAGCCCCCAGAAGCCTGTCAACTTCGACTTTGTAGGACCAGCGGTTTAGTCGACTCTTTTTTTTGCCATTTCTCTCTAGGCCACGCTCTCCAAGGCCCACCTCCAGACCTAAAGGGGCCTGGTAAGGCCTTTTCTTTAGATAGACAGACCGACTGATTTGTGAAATAATGCCACGAAGACAGAAAGAAGTAAAACAGCATTCTCTAAGTAACTCCTGACCAGTATCTTGCTTCTAGAAGAAAGGACTGAGGTTGTAATACAGTTAACATTTTGGGGATGAGTTTTAAATGGTAAAAATGACATCAAATCTAACAAGTTCTATAAAGCGGAGAGTAGCAAAGGTTCCCCAGAACACCAGCTGATGGGAAACATTTGCAAAGGAACTTAAATGTTTTAATGATCATGCAAAGGTGTGGCAATGTTTCAACCAAGTAAATACACTGATGAAAGTGCTACCAATATAACAATATTCTTAACATCAAATGAATCACATGAGAAGCAATAGCAGTGTTATGTTTCCTTTATATGATAAATTTTCCATCCCTGATGCACAGTATCCTCAGTGGTGCTGGAGAAGTCTCTGAGGAAATTTTGGATGGCTCAAAGAATATTTCAAAGTACTGTTTGCTGCTCCCCGACCGGCCCAGTGGGGAACCAGGGAATTATGTTATTGTTATGGACACAATTGTTGCCAAAGGAGCCCCCCTTTGGGACACGTGGCCACTTTTCTTTATGGAGTCGCTCTTAACATTTGAAAATTACAAACTCCTTTCTTCACTTAACAATACTCCCTTTTCCACTAAACTCTTCCAAATGTAATTTGAAAAGTCTCTTGAAATAAAAGAGAACAAAATATTATTCATGAGGCCTTTCTAGACCATTGCTATCCAGGACGGTAGTTCCTAGCCACATGGGGCTACTTAGCACTTGGAGTACGGCTAGGATGCATTTAGATGTACTATAAGTGTAAAGTATACACCAGATGTCAAAAACTTAGTGTGCAGCAATAGAATATAGAATCTCTCATCAATAATTTTTATGTAGATTACATGTTGAAATGATATTTTGGAAGTATTGGGCTAAATAAAATACATTATTAATTTTATCTGTTCTTTTTATCTTTTTTTACTGTAGCTACTACAAAATTTAAAACTGCATATGTGGCTCACATATAGGGCTAGCATCATATTTCTACCAGAAAGTTCTCTTCTAGAGCATCACACCATTTCTAGAGGAAGGGCCATTAGCATTTCATTTACTGTCTTTTGTAGGGTGAAGAACACTGACTCTAGAAGCAAAGCATTCCGTATTTGAATCCTGTCTCTGCTATTTTGCTGGATATGTAACTTTATGCAAGTTACTTGAACTCTCTGAGCCCTGGGTTCTTCAACAATAAAATAGCAATAAAAACCAGGTTATAATGAAGATTAAATGAAATGATATATGTACAGTGCTTAGACGAGTGCCTTATGCATAAATACTTAATGACTACCTCTAGGCTATTTTATGACTGTAACTGTTATTACTATGATTACTCCTTTTCCTGAGTCCTGAGATGCACTGAGTTGGGACTTAATGAGTGCAGTCCACCTTGCCAACACCCCCTGTACATATGTGAGAGCCATTTTAACAGCCATTTCATGAAGAAGACAGAAAAACTATATAAAACAGAGATTGTGCTGCCTTCATAAAGATGCACAACAGCACAGTGAATAAAAGTTGGCCATTGGAAATAGTTTTAGAAGTTGACAGAAAAATTTAACATATAAATCAAGTGAAAACAAAAATGAACAGTTTTGTCTCTTAAGAATCTATTTCTTTCCAGATCTATAGTCTGTCTTCTCTTGATTTTTAGAAATCTAACAGCCAATGGAGTTTACTGGAGAGTCACAGACACACCCACTGAACCACTGTGAGCAGAGAAATGTTTCCACAGCATTACATCTCACCCCAGCTAGGACCAATGTCTCTTTCAGGGTCAGCCCAAACTTTCCATTTTCGAGAAGAAATAAACATTCAACTTCCTTATGAAATCCTTCTAAAAAATGTGATGAAGTAATCAAAAAGAATAAAATCATATTATAGATCTTACTGCATAAAAAGTCAGATATACCATAATTATGAGCATAACTGCTTTATTAAACATGAGGTATAGTTAAGAGTAAGAGCCTATTTATATAATTTGTGAAAGTGTGCCTTGAGCCAGATATGAAAATTTGAGTAAATCCAATCACAACTCATACAGGTTGGGAACATACTCTACTGTTACTGGTAGGATGTAAGAATTCACTTCCTCTTCTCTTTAAATGGTAGGCAGGGGCAACACCAGCCTTTGGCTATTCTCATGTCTCTAATTTCCCTGCTCTGACATTTCAGGCATTCCAAATTCATCATTCTAAATAAAATTTCACACAAACACATCTACTTCAAAAAGTCACATCCACTTGGTTGCAGTTTAAACCTTTAAAACAATGCGATTAGGAACCATCAAATTTGAAAAACATAAGAACTTTAGGTATTTATTTAAAAAACAAAAACAAAACACAGTCCTCTGCAACTACTTCTCCAGGAGAATTTCCAGAATAAACTTTGCAAGCTGGCATTTAATGTGACAACCCTTGAGAACCCAATAATAGGTCCTAGTATGTCCTCTTATGTAGACAATGAAACCAAGATACATAAAGTATGAAATTACCTTATTATCCTCTACATTGATCACTTCCAAAAAGTCATGATTCTCCAAGCCTTGGAGACTACTGATCTGATTGTGGGACAGATCCACAATCTGCAGGGCTTTTAGGTCCTCCAAACCTGTGATCTTCTCAATCTCGTTATTGCTCTAAAATTGATAAAATACACTTAATGTCTGAGAGGCCTCCAGTAAGAGAAAGCATAACAAGTTTTCCATTCTGTATACTGCTCCAAATCTCTTAAAACCAGTAAGCCATTCTTGTCCCCGCCCTTCCCATTTCCATCATTCACCTCCCTAAATACATACACATACACCCCAGAAAGAAATCCTAGGTTTTCTGCTGGAAGACTCAGAATATAATATTCTCACTAAAGTTAAAGCAAGATGAATGTTCAAATCAGTACAAAAGCTAGGTAGCATAAGCTTTTAACATTGCATATCTTAAGCCTAATGATAGTATAGTTTCATGTTTATCTTTAGAAATAAAAATTTAATACAGTTCTTTAATCACCACTAGGTAAATCACTTGAATATTGTAATTCTCATATACAATTTGTTTGCAGAAATATCTCAATATAATCATTTCTTATCATGAGGCATGTGGTAATCTGATACAGCCCTTGAGTTACCCACGCCCTTGTGCAGTTCCCTCCTCTGGATTCCGACTGGCCCTGTGACTCGCTTTCCCCCAAGAATACGGCAGAAGTGTGCCAGTTCCAAGAAGAATTAAGAAGGTCTGCAGCTTCTCCTTTTGTGTCTTTGAGTCCTGAGCTACCACGTAAGAACTCTAGCTATTCTGATAGAGAGACTCTGTGGAGAGGTCACGCGGAGGGGAGCCCTGCGAGGAACACCCCAGCCATCCCAGAATCCCCGCTGAGCCTGGCCCCGGGGCCGGCCGATATGCCAGCTGAATGAGGCTACACCAGCAGAAGAAACACCTGGCTGAATCCAGCTCGGATTGAAGAGCTGCTGGCTAACAAATTTCCTTCACACCACGACACTTGCATGGCTTGTTATTCAATAGCAGATGATTAAACTGAGTTCTTTAACAATTCACATGTAAGTACCTCTCAGACAATGAGCATAAAATAAAGATTCAAGACTCAAATGTTGTCCTCTTTCCCAACCCCATGTGCCCGTGACAACAATAATTTGCATTCTCTTGTATACTTTCCAACATACTCATAATACCTTGGGTTCCTTAGCCTTGAGGTATAAAAATAACACAGTAAAATTAAACTTTTAGTTTAAGCTGAGAATCATCATAAAGAGAATTTTGAGGATTCAACTAATGCTGTGATATGCCCACCTTTAAACTTTTAATGAGCACTTAACTGAAAAATTATAGTATTCTCTTCCAGCTACAATATTTTTCCTGGTACATGTTTCCTGGTATATTTAATAGCAAGAGCTCATTTTTATGCTACTTTTCATAAGATGTCAGTAATGAGCAAGATTTGTGTTCATTAGTATAATTCCATGGCTCTTTAAAATGTATTAATAGAATGTTGATAACCTATAAAGGTGGGTGATAGTGCAAGGGGGCTCATTAAACTATTCCCTCTTTTTTTATATATGTTTGAAAAATTCCATAATAAGAAGGAAAATATATTCATAACCCTATTTGCCTAAGTTAAATCAAATTTTCTACTGTTCAGAGTTCAAAAAAGTTCTAGAAAGTGTAACAGAAAAGGGAAAGAAAAAAACTATACTCAACATAATATCCACATTTACTTATTGAAATAAGACCTCAATATCCTATTTAAAATGTGCCCACATATAATATTTATGTACAATACACTTTTTCCTCTAGGAACTTTGAAGTATTGTAGATGTGGAAGATGGATTGTAATAATTCTTTACAGTGCCTCTGATGGGTTTCAAAGTGGTAGATGCTTAAGAGTGGAGTGAGACACAGAAAAGTTTAATTAGATAGCCTATGGCCATAAAAGCAAGCAGAATTGAGAAATATGTAGAATCAATTTCTGAGTTGAAGGTCATCCAGTCAAACCCTTTATTCAATGATGAAAAACTGATGTATCATATCACTCCACAAAGTGGACGTTCATTTTCTGCACGTCCATTTTCTTCCAACTTCTTGCTTGTTTCATCATGATTAGCAGGGGAGAGGGGGCATTTAGAGAGAAGTTATTTTCTTAACTACATGAAATAAGAAATATTCTCAATCTCCACAATTTGGGAGGGAAAAAACAAGTGGCTCTTCTAAGAGAAAACGAATATTCAAGTTTGGAATGCATTGTCCTTACTTACTAAGAGATGTGGTTGACAGAGTAGTCCATAAGGGAACCACATTTTTCCTTTATGGGTATCATAATAGTTGATGGTGGACATTTAACAATTGGTTTATATAGTGAATTATTATTTTTTTCAAAATTGTGAAATGAATTATATATTCCAATAGTAAAGCAACTGTTTTTCTGATTCCACGAATTAAAAAATAAAAGCATTAAAAACTGTTGAAACAAATGTGTATCATTTTATTTTACATAATATTTGGAAGTGAAACACCATTCTCAAAAACTTTAAGGAAAATGAGTGATGGCATTGTCTGTATTGTCTAGTTCATCTTGGGTGATGGGGGCAGAGATGGAAAAATCTGCCTTATCAGTTGTAGAAAAAATAGGTCCTTTATGCCTTCTCTAAAAGCTCCTTGAGATGGAACTGTCCACATGGATTACTTATTTAGTTATTGAAACAGACTCTTAGGATAAAAGTTCTATGGATCATTATTCTTCTGACTGAGCTAGCCGGGTGACCTGTATCATTATTCTTAATAATGAGTTCACTTCTCATTCCCTGCAGATACTCATCTATCTCTTCCCACATATCACATTCCACTTAGTTAATGGGAATGCCAACACACAAAGACATGTAGGGAAAGGTTAGGTTCTGACAAGCAACAAATCGAATAGTACATACTGCCAGTAAGCTTTCAAATTATCAGAATTTTAAAATGTGACTTTGTTTTATAATTTTTAAATATGCAATCCAATGTATCAAATTCATTTATTTATGCTTTGCCAACATGCCTCAATGGGCAGGAAACATGAAACCTCAGGGAAATTATTAAGCCTTTCCATGCCTTAGTTCCATTCTCCATACTGGGAACCAATACTTTACCCTCACTTAACTCATTATAAGGAGAGAAGGGTCTTGAAAAAACAAATCAGGCTCCAAGCTTAGGGAAAGAAAAACTAACACATAGCCAACCTTTAGCCATCTGTGGCTAAGTAAGGTAAAATAGTATTTTGTTTATGCACACAAGCCAAGACATCATTTCAAACAACGGTTCAGTACTCTCCTATGAGCTAGTTCAAGTAAGAAGCTAATAAGCTTCCAGCCTTGTGACAAATGTAAGAAGAGCAAAGCCACTCAAGGGAAAGAAGTAGGGGAGAGGAGGAAGGGTAGGAGAAAGAATCCTCAATAATCCACGCAATACAGTATCAGCCTCCAAACTAGTGACCTATACTGTTATTTCAAAAATGCTGTATATATCTTTGGAAATAAGATCCTGATCTTTTTTAAGAAATTATCTGTAGTTTCATTCAGTCACACAGCAGGTCATATGGCTTAAGAAGAGTGCTCTCTGTGGGAAAAAAATTAAACATTTAAACTTCATGACTGGAATTGTTCATTTACTCTTAGCACTAATTCTGGATTTCTAAAATGGGGGACTAGCATATATCGATAGAAAAGAACAGCCAACATTCAGAGCCTAGAAAACATCTTGTGGGTCAATTGAGAGCAATTAAGTATTAACCACACTAAACATTATGTTTATACATGCTTGAATATTATTTCATCAATAAGACATTAATACATTAATGAAATGTATTTTTTCATAGTCATTAAAAAGTATACCGTTCTTTTTCAGTGTAAAAAGTCAATCTTTTAACAAATTGAATTTGGATACCAAATTAGAAAAGCATTTTACTTTAGCATGAAATATTGATCACACACACACACACACACACACACACACACACACACACACCCCAGATATGGAAAGGAACAAACAAAACTGAAGACAGTAACATTTCATGAAGGAATTAGCTCTTTACAAATTTGAAAAATCCTAATTATCATTTATATATTTACTAAAACTTAAACTAGAACTTCTATAAACAATAACATTTTTGTTAGACTCACCAGGCAAAGTACTTTGATTGGTAACATGCTTAAGCCATTAATTGTTGCGATCTTGTTTTTGGCCAAACTGAGGTGAGTTAGATTGCGGCAGAGCTCTAGTCCACTGATTTCTGTGATCTCGTTGCCTTTATACCATGACTATGTTTAAGGAAAATGTTATTAGGAATATTCTGAAGAAAAAAAAAGAATCAGTGTCAAAGCAACTTTAGAAAAATCAGCCAATAGCATAAATAAAGTGGTATACCACATGCCCCGTACAGAATGAATGCTAAATCTTGAAATATTTTTCATATAGAAGTTAATTCTAGCACCATTCGAAATAATATATCTATTTTTTAAAAGGCATAGGTTTTGAGTGTAGTCAGTTGCATTTAATTTGGTGAGTAAAAACATTTTTCGACTGTCAAAGTCAATATCGTGATATAGAGAGAAACAGCTTTTTCTCTCCATCTACATTGGCTTCTCGTCTCCCTTTAAAATAAGTAAGGCCTAAACTCTGCCTTCATTTCCTCTGTGGATTAAGTTCCTAGTCATTTTAAAATTTAACTTATTTTTTGTGTTTTATCTGTTAACAGTCAGCTAAAACGGAAATCTCAAAGTCAAAAATTCTACTTACTTCCCTCTGTCCTCAGTATCATCGGCAAATTCCAATATTCGATCTCATTCCCCCAAAGCTCAGTTTCCCTGCCAAGTAGACTCAGACATCACCATTTTCTCAGCCCCTCATAATCTTCAGGCATCCAAACCACTCGCCATGACTGGCATTTTTTGCTTCAACACATCTCTTTAATTATTCCCATCCTTTTCACTCACTCCTTCGACAACTTATTCAGCCTTAGCACAGGGGTGCCTCTAATGCACATTTCCTCCCACCCTCAAGTCAGCATATACACTGTAGGCAGGTTCTGTTTCTCAAAATGTTGATTGCTTATCCTGCTTCAATGGAAAACTTCTCGTAGTATGAATTCCAAATTCCTAACTCTGGAATTTAAGGCCCTTCACCTGAAGCAAAACCTATTTACCCGATTTCATCCCCATTATAATCCAGGAAGAACTCTCTCCAGTTCTGCCAAGTCAGTCTTCTCCACAGTTCTAGAATGTGCCAGTAACTTTATTATTATCAGTGTATCTTTTTTTTTCATACTGCTTTCCTATTCCTTTTTAAATCATGCCCATTCTTTAGGGCTTAATTTCAAACTCCACTTTTTTCCTTTTTTCTTTTTCTTTTTTTAACATTCACATTAAACCACATCTTACTTCTTTTTGAGAGAGAACCTCGTTGTCTTATTTCTATTTGTTTTTAATTGTAGAAGTAAGAACGGATGATGGACTGGAAGAACATATTTACAACATAGGTAGTAGACAAAGGATTATTACCTAAAATGCATAAAGAATGAAAATAAATTTGTAGGAAAAAAAAGACAAACTCCCCAGTAGGAAATGGAAAAAGAATACCTCCAGGGAACTCCCGGAAGAGCAAATCCAAGTGGCTAATATTAAACACACGAAAAGACACTGCATCACCTACAGTCAGTGGAATGCAGATGAGGATGCCGTTCTTCACCCACCAGTTTAGCAAATGTTTTAAAGTTTTGGAAGAAAAGATTTTTTCATACTAGTAGGTGAGAAGTTTCATTCTGGTATTGCCACTTTGGAGGCGATTTGGCAGCCTATTATAAGTGTAAATAAGTCACAGTAATTCCAATTCTCAGTATGGACTTTAGAAAAACAATTTCTTCCTCAAAGCCTTTTCCGGTCAACTTCTAATGATCCCGGAACTACCTCCTTCCATTCAATGACAATTTATTTTAAAGAGGAAGGAAGGGATTGTAAATATCACAGAAACATATATGTTGCCTCTAATTATTTGTACTTATCCTAATTCTATTAATAACTAGTTATGTGACTTCTCTCTGCTCAGATTTTTCATTTATAAAGTGGGGATAACACCATGGTGCTCTCACACAGGGATAGGCAAAAAGTTGTTGTGAAGGCAGAGAGCTAAATCATGGGGAAAAAAATAGAAAATGGGTACGAATGAGTGGCACAAACCCTACAGCACCTGACAAATATAACGTATTGTTACCATTATTAAATTACAAGCACATGAGGCCAAGGAATTATGTCCTTTACCTCTTGGTCAACAGCACAAGATGGAAGATTCAAGGCAAAGATTGATTCTTAAAAGACCTAGGCCAGAGAAAGAGGTAAATTAGGCAACCAGAAGCAATGAGAAAACATTACCAAATGAACTAAAAATTCCTAGATTTGCTTCACTGAAAATCAGTCCTTCACTGAAAACTGAATCCTTTCAGATTCAATCATTGTGCCGAAGCATAGTTCTGCTTGTCATCAAAATGCATTTCTTAGTCTACTTTTATACAACTTCCTGCCAGAATAGCTCTACAAATAGACATTCATGTTCACAAACACTGTGCTCCTTTCTGCTTCCATTTTCTCTGAGCTATTTAAATCATCCTTCTGGAAATATAACAAAGAGCAGATCTTTGCAAATATGGAATGCAACAAAGAATGTGAAATAGGAAACAGTAGATTAAACTCTCATATAGCTACAATAACTTAGAATATCCTTGGAGTAGCAGTCTTTGGAAAGAAAAATTAGGCAAGGAAAATGTCAAATGGCCATCTGTCTTTTAGCAGAGGAAGCGATAAGTCTCTAAGTCCCATTTCAGGAGCACTGGGGTCCTGGTAGCTCTGCTCCAACCAAAATGAAGATACTCTGAATTATGGCAAAGAATAAAACAAATGCTAGTGGGTAGCTGAGTTAGGGAACATTCCCATGGGAAGCAAGCAAGGATCAGAACACTAGAAAACAGGGATCCTGAAATTATCAAGAGATAATGGAGATTGAAAAGGAAAGCTTTACTGTGCATACAGCGATTTGCCAAGACATTAGAGGCTAACCACAGCTCCCTTGGTACATCCAGCTTGACTTGTATGGCAAGGCCTGTTTTATGAAATTAGTATTGCAAACGAGAAGGCCTAAAGATGCCTCCCTGTAATCATAGCCTGGCTTCTGCTGTACGACTGTGGTCACTCACAGCACTGGGACAAAGGGTGAGGAATAGAATATCTCTGCTGAGAAGTATGTTCACTTCAGAAAAATTGTTTCCTGTTTCCCAGCTTTCCCAAGCACTAGAAATGAATCAGGTTCTTGAGTAAAGAGTACTTTTTATAATGGCACAACAGTTCCTCCCCCTCCCCTTTGCAGTTACTCCCACAGTCACATCATTTGTCACCAGAAGCAATGATGACGGTCCTTATGCAGGACTGGTCCACGCAGAGCTCTGAGTTTGCAGCTTGCTTTCAGAAATGCCTTTATCTCCCCAATTTCCTGCTTTCTTATTTTAAGAAACTTCATGAAATGTTACTTGACCTTCCTCCTAATATTATTCTTTGATGTTCTTTCATAGGTTTCAGGACTTTCTGATAAGGAGAAATATAATCTGAAAAGTCACTGAACTGTGACAATGAATTAGCTGACTGGGTTAATCTTCTTGGGGATGTTTTAATTTTAAAAGGTCACTATTAGGAGAAAGAGACTCGAAGAACTCAAACTCATCATGCTGCATTCCAGCACTACCGTCTTACAATTCTGTGGATAAATCTTCACAGTGAATTTTTAGATCTTCATGGAAATTGAGTGAAGGAACCAAGTGGCACAACTGCATAATTTTACCGCTGGGGAAAAGCCCAACAATATATTCTTACATTTGGCGATCCTGTCAGCAGTTCACAGTGCTTGACATGAATTATTCATTAGTTCAGTATTCACTCTTACTCATTTGTCTACAATCGTAAATGATGGTTTGGGCGTATAGAAAACAGTTATGGAGAAGTAAGTAGGAAATCCATCCCAATCTTCTGAGCAGAGAGAACCACAGGATGCTTTTATCCAAACCAATCCTGAAAGATCTGTATCACTCTACACGGTGAAAAATATTCCTCACCGTGGGAGTGAATCTCTCTAAGAAATGAAATGCTAATATACTTTAAATGGCTATGTGATAAAAGTTGTAATTACTCAATGAATCACAATATGGGCAAAATGCTGGGAATTCAGAAGATGAGTCCCAATTCCACTATTTACCCAATAATCTTGGACAAGGTGCTGAACCTCCCTGGGCCTCAGGCTCCTCTTCCATTAAAGAACAGTTAGCACTACATGATCTCCAAAGTCCTGGACTTAAAAATTCTATGAATCACTTTTTAAAATTCTCTGATTCTATAATGATAAAACAAATTCCAATGAACGATCAGTCCATATTTACAAATAGACTATAAACCGCATCCTTCCTTAAGACTAAGCGAATTTACTTATCCTTGGCAAAGTTTATCGTCTTGCGGTTTAGGAAGAGCATCAATTAATCATCAGTTATCTACATATGGAAGGACAAAAATAGCATAATAAGATAAACTAAAAAGTTATTATCTTATAGTCAACAATTCATTCTGAGGTATTAATATAATCTATAGTTGACTCTTGAACAAAACAGGCTTGAACTGCAGAGGTTCTCTTATATCCAGTCTTTTTTCAGTAGATATATTGTAAAATTTTTTGGATATTTCCAGTAATTTGGAAAAACATTTTCTTTTCTCTAGCTTACTTTATTGTGAGAGTGCAATATATAATACAAATAACAAAAAATACGTGTTAATTGACTATTTACATTATCTGTAAGGCTTCCAATCAACAGCAGGCTATTGATAGAAAAATTCTGGGGAGTAAAAAGTTATATGTGAGTTTTCAATTACGTGGTGCAGGGAGTAGGGGGCCGTGTCCCTAAACCCCATGTTGTTCAAGGGTCAACTGTACTACAGTCACATTGTCAGCATTGCTAGTTTAACAGAATTTTATTTTAAATGTAATTGTTTTTTAAAATTGATAGTACTTTTATTTAACTTTAAACAGAAGTCTGCTTTTCCCCCTCAAATGGAAAAGATATATATACCCACTAAGGAAAGCTTGAACAAAAATTTAAAAAGTATAAAAATGATAACAGCTAAACTTTTAAAGCATTCATAAAAGGACAAAAGGCGTGGCATCAGATTAGAAAAGCAAGCCTCATGAAGTATAATAGAGAGGACTGATTAGCTTAAGCTGTGGATCTCAAAGTGGAGTCCTTAGACCAGCAGTATTAGCATCACTTAGGAATTTGTTAGGAATGCAGGCTCGCAGGTACCACCCAGACCTACTCAGAAGCTCTAGTATGGACGCCAGCAAGAGGTGTTTTAACAAGCCCTGCAGGGTATTCTGATACATCTAGGTTTGAAGTTTGGTAAATAACTGTTTTCAAATACATTAATTTATCATTTTCAGATTTTAAAAATGTTAATGGACACAGGGACATCATTGGCCCATACAAAGCCTGCTCTTACTTACTTTGAAAAATATAATGAACATTCTTGAAACCATGACCACCTGCAGTTTAAGAAGTAGAATATTAGCAGTAACTTACGTCTATCTTGTGCGCCTCTGTCACATCCTGTTGTCCCCTTCTCAGAGATAATTACTAAGCTGAATTGTCTATTTCCTCTTCCCTTTCCCCTTTGGGTTTATACCTAAATTATATTCAGTTTTATTAGGATTCATCCTTATTGCTGCATAGAGATATATTTCATTCATTTTCAGCTCAATATGATAAACTATTGTAGAAATGTACCATAATTAATGTTTTCTCTTATTTCCCATACATGCAGGTTATTTCAATTTTTTTCCTATTACAGCTAGTATTACTATGGGCATTCTTATACAAGCCCCCAGATACACATATGCTAAACTTCCCATATATAGGAATGAAATGCTAAGTCATAGGGAATTTAGATGTTCAACTTTGTCAGATAGTACACAACTGTTTTCCAAAAAGGAAGAAAAAAAGAGATCCTCTTGATCTATTTGTTCTTCAATACTTGGTATTTTTAGAGTTCTTAAATTTTGTCAAATGAATGGATATACCTCATATGGTCTTGAGTTGCATTCCTCTAATCAGATGAAGTTGACATCTCTTCATGTTTTTAGTCTTATCTCATTTTCTCTAAAATTCTTCTTATACATATTCTTATCCAGGAACATGGGATATATTTCTCTTTATCTAGGACTTTAATATCTTTCAATAAAGTTTTATTATGTTTCCCCCTACTGGTCTTAATTCATCTTTAATAGGGTCCATTTTATTGTTCTTATAAATGGTGTTTCTTTTTAAAGTTGTGCTTTCTGTTTATGATGTGGAGAAATGCAGTTGATTTCTGTTTATTGAAGTCATATCAATATACTTTGTTGAACTCTCAGAACAATAAGAAAGTAACTTATTGCAAGTTCTTTTTGATATTCTCCATAGACAATCATATCATGTGCAAAGAATGACTTTTATTTTCTCCTTATAAATCTTTATACTTTTAATTTCTTACTCTTGTTTTATGGCATAACCAATACTGGATAGAAGTGACAAGGGTAGGTATTCTTGTCTTGTTAATGATTTTTTTTTATTGAAGCATCATTGATATATAATCTTATATTGGTTTCAAGTATACAACACAGCGGTTCAACAGTTACCCATATTACTAAATCCTCACCCTTGTTCCTGATTTTAAAGAGTGCTAGAGAACATGTCTCCAATTAGGAAAAAGTTTGTTCCTAGTATTTGTGTAGATGTTCTGAATCAAGTCAAGGAAATTCCCTATTACTAGTTTAGTAAGAGATTAGTAAGTGTGAATGGGTACTGGATTTTATTAAATTTTCTATATCTATTGAGTTTCTGTATCTGCTGATCATGTAGTTTATTTCCCTTAATCTGCTAATGTAGTTCATGACATCTGCTGGCTTTCTTATATTACACCACCCTTACATTCATGAGATAAACAACTTGATCATGGTATATTTTTTTCCCATTCGTTGTCAGAATCAGTTTGCTAATATTTTGTTTAAGATTACCTTTTTTCATCTATGTCATGAATAAAATGAGTCTCATTTTCCTTTCTCTTATTCTTCCTTGTCTGGTTTGGATATCAAAGAAACCTCATTAGAATGAATATTGACTATGCCTTCTAAATTTTTGAAAGTACTTGCTCATTATTGGAAGCTTCACTCTTCAATGTTTGGGTTTCATTGGTTTTTCAAATAAGGATTTTAACTTAATTTTAGTTTGTAATGAACTACTTTTACAGTTACAAGACTACTCAGGGTTTCTATTTCTAAGTCAGTGTTTTGATGCACAATATTTTTCTAGGAATTTGTCTATTTCACCTAAGTCTTCAAATGTATTGGCACAAAAAAGTATCTAAAATTTATTTTACCTAAAAGCTTTTTAGTCTTCAACAATCTAATCACACAATTATATACACTATGATATGCTTCAACAGAACAAAAGTGAAAGGCATATTTGGTACTGTTTAAAAACTAGCCTATCTTTTAAAAAATGTCAGGTATCTAAGTTTATTTCATTAATAGTATATGAAGCGTAGCTTGTTTTGGCTACTTTGAGTTTTTAGAAACACAGGTGAGGAATGGTGCCATGTTACATTCTAATTATACATCCTTGATCTGAATTTCATTTGGTTCTGATGTAATAATTATAGATTTTTATACCTTGGCAATAAGACTTGATTGCTACATCTAAAGCCAAGTTAAAAAAAAAACCCTAATTCCTTTTTTCATGTCATTTGAAATTTACAAAGTCATAATAATCTAATTTTTCACATAGACAAATTTATATAGACATTAAGACTTTCATAGAAGTGTTTTAAACTGTTTCTCTGTTTTGGATCCGAACTACTGTGGAGTTGTTTTATCTGGCAATTCCATGCCGTACGTTGAAGAATATTTTTCCGGCAGACAGAGCTCAGACTGTCTACTCCAGACTGGCACGTCAGCATTCCCAGTCAGGACACCCTGATGATTAGGAGGGGTTCTGGATGCCCTATCCCTTCAGGCTGGTAGGAGTGTAGGTGGGTGCAGTGCTTCTCCAGCTTTAACGTGCACTCAAGTTCCCTGGGGGTCTTGTTAAAATTGCAGATTCAGATTTCATAGGCCTGGAGTAGAGCCCAGGAGTCTGAATTTCAAAGAAGTTCCAGGCAATGCTGATGCTGCCAGTCCTCCTTGCGCAGCACTCTTCTAGATGGCCTGACATGAGTGGATTTCTGAGCCCCATAGCTTCTGGGCCATCAGACTCTATCTCTTTGCAACTCCAATACATACATGACAGTCAAGCCTAAAGTGAAGGTTCTCGGAATAGGTGCTGCTATCATGCACTGCTTTTAGTTTGTCATCAAAGCATTTCATTTTGGTCATTTTCTCACCAGGCTATATTTGGGAGAACTTGCTCATTTCAAGAGCACCAACTACATGTCCACTAATTGCTCATCTTCACATATACCTTCTAATGGGTAATATGCTATGTTCTAAGCTTTCCACTATGTACAAATAAAGGCCTTTTTTCTACATCTTCAAGAAAGTGTACCTTCTGTTCTACCACATCTCAGGCTTCTAACAAGTGTAGTGTGTACTATCTGCTGCCACATCCCTGGAATGAGGCACCCAAGGGCAATCGATCCACTCTCCACGCTGTGTGAAAAATCCTCAGGTGAGTAGAAAGATACTTACTGAGAAAGAGAAGGTGTTGCTCCCTTATCACCCAGAGAACATCTGTCTCTGGTGTAAAGAGACTTGGCTCATTAAACTCACAGGTCCCCAGTTAACCCCTTAGGCTCTAGAAGCTGGAGTGTGCCTACTTCAGAGTTGATGCTCTATTTGCATGGGAGCCTGGCTCATGCAAAAGATATGTTTCTGAAGTTGGTTTCTAATGAAAAGTTTTTCTTTTTTTTTTTTTAATGAGAGCATATTTTAAATACACTGGAGAAGCTTGCTATTTAAAGGGAACTTAATATTAATTCTTTTGTAAAATAATCACTACCTTTCCTTTTGGATTTTCAGATACCGAATTTACATAAAACAGGGAACAAATTTAAATTTGAAGGGTCAGTTAAAATAGAATTTCTTATCTGGATCTATAATTAAAAACAAGTCTATGTTTATCAGAAGAATGACTGTCTTACTTAGCTTTTCAGGTATAAGATGCTCTTGGAAAGCTTTGGCTTGCAATTTTACTCCTTGTTAAATAAAATATCTTTTCTCATTTGGTGGTTATCAATTCTTAATCACTTAAATGAGTCACACAACTCTAGTAAATTGTTTATCCAGTACTATTCCATGTTATCTTATATATATTTATTCATGGGCCTACTAACCAAATATCCCCTGTTACTCATTCAAAGGATACTGTCCAAAATTAGCTTTGTGAGTGCCTGGTATGCTGACAAATCACACATTTCAGAAATTTGGTTGTAGGAAAAATCCACCTTCTGATGAGAAAAAAAGAATAATATGTCATACTTTATTTTTATTCATCTTAACCACAATAATTAATTGTACAAGAAGAATGTATTTCTGGGTGTGGGGTTAGAATTCATTATTGAAAAGACTAACATATTTACCTATATTCAATCATTTTCTAACGGGGATGCTTGTCTGTCCACTTTGAGGGATACCAAGGAGGAGACCACTCCTTCTGGCCAGCACAGGCATCCCCACAACACAAACACTTTCAATTCTTGCAGTTACTACCCTCATTTTCAGCATTTATTTTAAACTTTCTTTTTCTTCCTTCAGGATTTACCTTACTTTCACCTTTCTTTACCACCATTTCTTTCATTTTCCCTAATGCCTAGTAAACTGTATTCACCTAATTCATATGCATAGCCTGTTTTTCTTTTCTTTGCCTTTTCTATTTCTATCTCATCATAGTCTCCCATGTCACCCCTAAATGCCAGAAAAATATTTCTTATTCATCCCTTCGGCCATATACCTCTTCAAGTTAACACCCCTTTTCAAAATGGACTATTTTAAGAAAGCATTTTCAGCGACATCAGTTATTCCTACTCAAAAATATGAGACTAAAGAAAAACAACATAAAAACTTTGTTTAAATATTCACTTACTTGCAAAAGAGAAACAAAAATGATATAAAACAATTTCTTGAAACACTGCATTGATAATTTGCTGGGCACACTGTGACCATTTTCTAGAAAACTACCAAGTAATTATAACTATAATAAGCACTATACTTATCTTCTTGTGCCCTGTAAAACAATGATTCGCCCCCAAAAAATGTACAAAGATCATCTTACATATTAAATACTAAATACTTTAAATATTAAAAACTTTAAGCACTGAATACAAAAGAAATTTGGAAATTCAAATGGTAAGAGCAGAAAAATGGTTAAGTCAATTACAATATAGCAACAGGGCTACATAGTAAAATGCAGTGTGAGAACCATGGGAGGAAATAGAAATGAGCAAATAAAATATTGTTAATAAAAAAAATCAGAACACATAATTCTATGCATATACAATTGCAACCATGTAAAATATATACCATGACTGAGCTATGAAGCCAGTTTGGCAGGATGAAGTTTCATATTCACTTTTTTCTTCTATATAATAATGATGGAGTAGAAACAAACTTATGCTTATCTCAGTTTAACTTATAACTGATACTTTTCCTTTAACACCTTTCCTTCTTGTGGCATAGCTTGTGTTTGCTCATGATGTCTACCTAACTACCCCCCGTTGGGGCTCCATGCCAACATTATGTCATCTATGCATCTACGGTGTTAGGTTTGTGGCAGGACCTTAAAAGGTTATGACATTGCTCTGACTCCCACTGGGATTCCACTGGAACTGAAGGCTTGTAGGAAGTACCCATCAAGAAAATGAAACTTCTGCACCTACTAAGAGCAAAAGCATTTTAGGAAATAAAAAAAGAGTGCAAGGACAAGGTTCTGCTCTTTAGGAAAAGTATGCTTTCTTTGCTTGGTGACACAAGGCTCATAGATAGTAAGTGAAAAGGAAACAGAGCTTTTTGACAAGGTGGGACATTGTATATAAGCCAGATTTACTAGGAAGATAGAGGGTTTGGGTCTCAGACATCAGGTTCAATCCCAGCCCTGCTACTCCCCAGCAAAGATTAAATAAGTTACTTAACCTTTCTACAGAGTGTCCTCATCTGTAAAATGGGACCATTCCAGTGGCTCATAGCTTTACTTTGAGAATGAAAGAACATAGTGCACAGAAAACACTGGAGGGCCTCGTTTATTTCCCTCCCAGGTTCATACAGAATTCATAGCGGTTTGAAGCACCTCATCAGGGGCAGTTCGGCACTTTGCAAGCACTTCTCTAAAGTTACCAATATACTGGGTTTTTCTCTGGGAGCTCAGAGCCTTAAAGACGGGGTATCTGGGTTGTTTTTGTTCATTGTTGGCATCTTTTTGGAGGGGATGAGGTAAGGATATGAATGGAAGAAACTCCAAGGAAGTTTTTCCTAGGGAAGGGGTCACGCTGTTGCCATGACTGACTTCGTGAGGCTTAGGCCAGGGCAGAATGGGACAGAAATGGAGGGACAGTCAACACAGCTCTGCAAATACAATTCCTGATAACCTGAAGACCATGGCCCCATGCCGAGTACAAATCGGCAAGTCCTGTAGCTTATTTGGACAAAGGAATGTCACCCCTGGCAATAACTACAATTTCAAAGGAAAAAAACCACACTATTGACAAAAATGGAATGATGTGAAACAATAGAAGAAAAATTTTAAGAAAGACGTCTCACTGGCAGTATAGGGGAAGTCAGATTCTTGCTTTCAAACTTATTTTCATATTTGTGCAAGCCCCAGCAGAATACTTTAGATCTAAGTCAATTCGATTTGTAAGCAAAATAAAGCTAATAGATAAAAAA